TAGCACAGTGCTAATAACTACAGTGCCTCTGTGAAACACTTCTATAATTCACATCTGAAATAAATGAAGAATATGTGGAATCTTTCCATTGAGACAGAATTACTCTAAATCACAAAGCATGTTAAAACATGCGGTAACTCATATCCTTCTCCTTTATGTATCAATTATAGTTATTTTTACATAATAGAATGGATTTTCCTATAACTCATAGTAAAACTATTTTGAACTGTATAAACAAGGAAGTACATACATCTAAGCTAAATAATTTTTTTCTGATATCTACCATGAATAGAAAATTTACAGGAAAAGAAACCCCAAGAAAGTGTTTTAAGAAAGGAAATAGCTACAAATAACCACCACTTAGAGATTACTATAATTAAGTTTTAAGGTGATAGAACGTGGATGATCTTTATCTTGATTCTTAAAGCAAATGAGGTTTAACTCTACCTTCTTGTTTGGCAAATTAGACAAATTTCTTATTAAAACAGTTCACTGATATCAAGAAAAGAGTGATCTTTCTAATTCTGAATTTTTGCTTCCTAAATGAGAATCGGAGAAATAAAAAGTACATAATGTGTCTACCTCCTGGTATAGTATAGCTGGCATAGCACAGTATCTTATAGGACTTATATGACACTTTTTTGTTTGCTATATCCTTAATTTCCACTATTTTTGTGAAGACTACTCTATTAATTAATAGTTCTTATTTGGAAGGTACCGATTCTTTGAAAATCAATTCAATGGACTCTGTTCATAACTTTAACTGCTTTTGTTACCCTTATTGGCATTTTCTTTAATTTATTTGGATTTTTGCAAGATGAGCCATTCAAGGTACATGAAAAGCAATAATTAATGCCCATTTTCCTCCATCCGGCTTCCTTTTATAAATAGCCTGAAACTGCGTTTCTTCCTCCACCCACTCGATGCCGGATTCATATAATACGGATTCATATCTTCTTTGTTTTCTTTGTTAATTCAGGTCTCTACTAGACCTCTGGCACTCCAGGCTTCTCCCATCTGTTACACTTCAGTGTTTCTGATTGTTCTTCCCTTTTTTCCCCAGATATAGGTGTCTTCATCCTCTTCATTCTCTCTTACTCTCTATCTCTAGCCCTCTCATTCTCAGTAAACTGTATTTCCAGCTTCTTTAGCCACGTTACTGTTGCTACATTGTCCCCACAGATCCCAGCAACATTTCCTACCAGTTCAGGCAGGGTTCCTGTAGCAGGCTGGCTCAAACAGCCTGAGAAGAAAGGTGGTGACCTGGCTATGCCTATTAGAGAGCTGTGATCACTATGGCATGTGGCTAGCCTGGTTCTAGCAACCAGCAGTCACACTGAGCATTGTTTGTAGCACAGAACTTCTTTAGTTGTTTTTTTGTACAAGCAGATAAGCCAACTGCAAGAGGACTTGCTATTAGAAATAGATTTCCTATAGTGGTGTCAGGGATGATAGTCAAAATTTCAGAGTAAAGTTCAGCATTTGTCAGAATAGAATCCAGCTGTAGCACTGAAGCAGAGTCCTGTAGGCTCCCTGCTCTCCCAGATTTTAACACTTTGATTGCTAGATCATGAGGAGTTCAGGGGACTAGAAGGAGTCTGAGTGAAGAATAAAAGTGTCCAGAATTTCAGGAAGGGCGTAAGAGGAGCTTGGGGCAGAGACTTTTTTCCCAACCAGCATTTCAACAAACAACGTGGCTGAATTTTGCATATCAGGTCAATGTCAGTCTTTTGGGTGATAAGTTTGTCCTCACCCACATTCTGTCTTCTTGTCCTCCTGAGACCAAACAAACACATATACTAGACAGATATTTTACAGATTTTACAGATGAAGAAATTGAGACTCAGAGAGGGCAGGTCACAAATGCCAGTGTTGGAGCTAAGATGTAAAGTCAGGAGTGACTGACTCAAAAGACAAAGCCATTGGGACTAAGATTGTCACACAACATTATTCGTTAGTGTTCTTCAACACTAGCTAAGGGATCTTACAGATGTTATTTGGTTTTCTTGTGAAATAGTGTGGACCTTATTATCAATCCCCTTTTCAGGTTTGGGAAACCTGAGGTTTAGAGAAGTAACTTCTTCAGAGATACTGAAAGAATGAACAAAAGATGGAAGTTCATTAGGCTGTAGAATCTGGATTCACATACTATCCACTTTCTGATTCCAGAACTCCTGCTCTACCACACCATGCCACCCTGAAGCCTGCAACTGTACATTTCTTAGAACACTCTCCCAACAATGCCTGCTCTTCTCCACAAAGATGGCTATGATAACACATGGCCAATGGTCATACATTTACATTTGCTTTCCCTGGCATTGGGTTAGCACGAAGCCAATTACATTCTCCTTCCTGATTCTCCTTAAAACTAATGGTGAGCAATTGACAGTCAGTTAACCAGGACTGGAGAGTGGTCTGTGGCCAAGAAATAGAATCACACTAACTAGAGTATGTGGAGTGAAACGCTGACTTCAGCTCTAAAATCCATGTGTTTTGTGTACCGTTTGTGTTGATTTGGAATTTCTTTTCTGGGAGTAGTATTTTGTCCTTCTATCAAATACTTTATTTAAATACAAACAAATAAATCTTTTATATTGCCCATATCCAATATTCTAGACTGGGTACAAATGTCACTTCTTCCTTGAAGCTTTCCTTACCTGCCCCAAGCAGAACCAGTCAGACCCTTTTCTGTACCTAAAGCACATGTCTTAACTGTAGTCAATCTAAATTGTCCTGCAGTTATTTTTTTATATTTCAGATTAACCCATAAGGACTTTGACCTATTAATCTATTTCTTCCCATCAACCAGATTATGTTTGGCACATAGTAAGTGTCCAAGAAACAATTGTTGACTTAATCAATTAACTTACCCACTGAGAAATAAAGTTCATGTTCACTAGCTTGGAAAGGAATTAAGTGATATCGTTTTTAGTGGTGGACATGATGGTAACATTTGGTCTGTCTTAGAACTTCATCATTTTGATTAACCAAATACAGGGAATGAAGGCTTAACAACTCTGTTATAACATTTATAATCCGTTTACTGCTTTGTAAATATAATTATTTTATATTTAATTGCAAAAAATTCCCTGGAGTAAAATTGTATTCAACAATTTGAATTAATTAAAATTATACGGATATTTGAAATGGTGATGTTCATCTGTATATATTTACATGGAAAGATGTCTATGATATATTGTTAAGTAAATAAAGAGCAGATTAGGAAACAGCAATTAAAGTATGATCTCATTTTCATAAAAAGAAATTTATAGGAAAAATTCTAGAATAATAATAGTGAGAGTAATAATAATATTTATATCCTTTCTTTACAATGAATGATTATAAATTTCCAAGTATGGAATTAAGTGCCTTCACACATTATTTTAATCCTCACAATAACTCTCTCAATTCATGTATCACTAATTGATTCAGCATTCAACTTGTGTTTCTTGTCCAAGGCACTGTGCTAAATGTTACAGATACAACAGTGAATCAGACAGACACCGTACTCAGTGTTTTATCATTATCCTAACTCTACAGATGAAAATTAGAGAGCTTTCCCCATCCCTCATGGGTCTTCTGGTCCAACTTAACATACAGACCCAGAGGACTCCCATAGGCTACATTTGCCACCAGTCTATTCAGGTGGATATGGCACAGGAACCCTAGTTTCCAAGCAGGGCAGCATCAGACCTTCCTTTCTCTGGGAGTCCTTGCAGCAGTTCACACGGTCTCCCAGCAGCCATCATCTTTGGTTCACCAGATAATGGATCAGACTCAGGGAGATGAGAGTTACACTGGGTGGGTGCAGGAGCCACCCTAACATAGCATTCTCCATATAACAATTCCGTATGTATAGTGTCCAGGGTTCCCATAAGAATCACTACCACCATCAGATATTTACAGTTCATTATAGCTTCTCCCAGTCCGAAGGAAGTTTGCCAGTCAGAGGTCATTTCAATCATAAGCAACGCTACCTGGAAACATGGTTAACATTTTACTCCTATCGAATTACTGGAAAAACAGAACTAGAGAGTGAACCAAAGGTCAAATTCTCAAGCAGAAGGAGGGGAAAGAGTTTTGTTAAGTAGCTATCCAATAAGCTAGTGGCTGACTGGATTCTACCTTAAGTCTTTCTGACTCTGAAGCCTGACTTCTGCACTTTACTGGAGGGTAATGGAAATGATCTCAGGGAGGAAAGCTTTTCACTTTCTTCTTCATTCTTTCTGAATTCTCAAGGTTTTTTTTTTTGGAAAGAGAATGAATTTCTTTTGTAATCAGAAAGAAATGTTTTCATTAAAAAGACTAGCAACATGAAAACGTGCTTTCGCCATAGCATTAAGCGAAAGCAGCCAGAAACAAAATGATATAGGTATTTGCATTGTGATTAGAATGATGTAAAAAGAAGAAGGCAGAGGGGAGGAAGCCAAGCAAAAATACAAAGCAGTCCTAACAGTAGCTGAGTTAGGACGGTTGGCTTGTGAAGGGCTTTTTTTTTCTGTTTTCCAGATTTTCTGTGAAATGCTTACATTATTCTTGGAATAAAATGAAATAAATTTATTAAAATAGAAAGAAAATATATTTAGTTCACAAAATACTGGAAATGTAAAAACCAGGCAAACATCATCCTAAGGTAATAGATTTAGTTCTCTTTTTCTTTTTATAGGTAAATATATTTTACATAAAATTTAACTATGTTAGGGGTTCAGAGTTCTCAAATTATTTCAAAACACACACACGGGCTTGGAAGATGGGAAGGTGGATTAGAGAGCAGTTCCGTTCCATTCCTGAAAGTCACCCATGTAACCAAAAGAATTTGCCCAGGGGCCTTGCTGCGTCCCTGCCCTGACACCACTATTTCAGTGCACTGCAGTGACTTGCCTAGGTCTGGGTTCACTCGGAAGAGTGGAAATATTATTGCCCAACCCCTTTCACATGTTATTTGTCTATAGTTATTTCAGGATGTAGCTATTTAAGGTTTAATTTTCTTTTAAACTCACGTTTTGGGCTTTATAGGATCCTTCTTTAGCCAAGGACTCATATAATTGGATAGCTGCTGTTATGTTTTGCGTGCCAACATTTCCAAATAGCAAAGCATCAGCCATTTTCTCCATAGCTTTCAAATTTCCCATGTCAGCTGCTTTGGCAAACAGTATGTAGGCTCTGTTTCAAGAATATGAAGTTAGGATTATCAAAAATGAAATTTTCTGCTCCTTACTTCGTACTACTTTTCTCTAACAAGTAGGACCCAATTGTCATTGCTACTAACAATACAGTTTAGCTGAAATCCTTTACGTCTCTAGACCAGTAGATTTTTTCATCCCTAGATTAGTCTAAGACTATAATTTCAAATATATCTGACAAACAGTGAAGTGCTAAAAGGAGAACTATATAGGATACACCATGCTTCAAGCTTATACATCAGGTGAGGTGAAAAATTGAGGCATTTGTCCTAACATAGTAAAAACTCCCATTATATGAATATTTGTTTTATAAAATGAACTCTGAAATATATGACAATATAATCAAAATCAATTAAAAAATCAAAACTGGAATGTCACATCTAGGAAGTTACTATCATGAGAACAAAGATCCTTTTATATTCTGAAATAAACAGAGCATATTCTCGAGCACAGCAAAGCCAGACTGTGGAAAAACAATAACCAAACAAAACCTAATGGTTCCTAGAGCTCTAGAGTCTGACTGCCTGGGTTCAAATCCTGGCTTCACCACTTATTAGTCTGAGAGCTTCAGGCAGGTTAACTTCTCTGTGCCTCTCTCATCTATGGATGGGGATAACAGTAGCACCTACTTCATAGGGTTGCTGGTAGATTCAATGAGATAATTCATGTGAAGCACTTGGCATAGTGCCTGGAACAGAGTAAACACTCAATAAGTTTAGCTATTATTATTATTATACTATTGCATAGATTCTAAAGTTTTATATCATGATAATTGTTCTCCTGTGAAAGTTTAGTGATTACAAATATAGATGCCATAGGGTTGCCTTACACTGCAATTTCTGAGTCCCCATCAGATGCAATTTGGATCTGATCTGTATAACAAGCTGTGATGGAGAGCCTTGCAAAGTCAAAACTTGTGTCAGAGAAAGAGAATACTTTTGGGATTTATTTTTACTCATGTAACTTCCTTTTTGGCAGCAGTAAGACCAGAAAGCATTAACCTCTGCCTATGACCTTCACTCAAATACAAAAAACCACACTAATCTACCATTCCTTCCACGTCAGAAGGATCAGGAAACTCAGCTTCATGTATCGCCTATCCAGGCTGATGGTAAAATAACCTGCTCTTGGTCAAAGGCTGGAGCAGAATAGAAGGGACAAAAACGGAGGGACTGAGTAACATCCAGGTAGGTATTAGGGTCCTGGATGCCAAAAAAGAGGGTAGATTCCAGTGCAACAAAAAGAAGCTGGGAGGTCAAGCAAGAAATTAACCTGGGTCAGAGCAAGCTGAGATTCTGGGGACCAGAAGGCAAATAATAAGATAGAAGTTCTCAAAGCTCAGTAAATGCAAATTTCTGGCATCCATGGACAGGCATGACATCAGGATAGAAGCTACTCCCTGAAGCCCTCTGTCACATAGCTTGCTGCTGCAATTACATAGTTTGCTGGGACTAGAAGGACATCACCATGGACTAGGGTAGAGAAACCTGAGATAGGCTGCAGGAGCCATCAGTATATCCATTCACTGGTCCCATGGGGCAGCAAAAGTTTGCAAAACCAATCCCTCTAGCTGTCTTTGATTCTAAGGGAGGGGTGGGTACCTAGGTCTCCTGTCCTGAAAGACCAAGTTGATATAAGGAATACTAGAAGTAGGTCCTAGGGCTGGAGAAAGTTGTTAGTAAATTAGGAAGGATTAAGATCTGGGCAGCAATCCCCAAGAGGGAAAAAGTAGGAGAAACTGGGAGCAGGGGCAGATCCCAAAAAGAAAGTTCAGTTTGGCATCTGGATCATCTCTAAGGGATCTGGCGTTGGATGCTAAGGTAAGAACTGGGGAAGAAGGAGTTAAGTGCATCTCTAAGACACATCAGAAACTTGGTGTGGGGCAGCAGCTTATCTCCAAACTTCCTTTGCTGATGGGGAGTAATTCTTAATGACACCTAACCCTGGCTGTCACTGAGTCTTCCTGACGCCTTCAGACAATTTTGTGTCTCCCTGATATAAGCTTGCTTAGCATCTATACTTCTAACAGCGCTGACTTTTTCAACAATTTCCCCCCTCATATATACGAAGAGGCGGAACGAATGAATGAATGAACTTGGCTAGGGAATAGCCCAATTTATTGGAATAAATTGAATATGAGTGTGGATGAGTCAAAAGGACTAGTAGCACCTCTATCTTGTGCTACCCCGACCTGAGAAGTGGTGAAGTAAGGAGGAGGTAGGATAGAGGAAAGAATGGGAGTGAAATGATTCCCCTTTGGTTAGTAGGGTGTGCTTTCATTTTTCTCTCCTCTGACCAGAATCTTAGAGATGTTTATATAGGTAAAACTAGCTTAAGGGGAGAGCAGACAATCCTGATAACTGAAGGAATTTCACTCAGCTTTCCCACAAACTTCTGGGGCCTCTTGATATGAGCAGGTTTGGTTTCAATTCTCCATTGCTACTAACTTAGAAGGGTCAGGAAACTCAGCTTTACGTACACTCTCGTGTATCTGCTGCAAAAATAAGCTGCTCTTCTGGCACTCTTGTGCAAGGACTGAAGAAGGATAGGCTGGGCAAAAATAGCCTGAGATGGAATGACAGCTAGGTGGGCATGAACATTCCTGCACTGCTGGATGGTCGGCTACCAGGGCTGGGTTTTCTCCCTTTCTTTAAGCCAAAGAGGAAAGCATCCTTCAAGGTTAAGTGGATAGTTACTTGGGACCTTCTAAGAGTGATTTTGCCCCATCAGGCTGAATCTAAGGTTTTCTTGGACCTCATCTTGGGTTCGCCTGCTGTAGGCAGAGCTAGTCTGAAATCTCAGGGACAAGCCCCTTCCCAGAACTCCATTGTTCTCTCATCTACCTAGATTGGGTTGAGAATTCCCTATTCTTACTCACTCGTGGGCACCTGAGTGAGCTTCCCTATCAGGTTAGATTGTATTTTGGGGGTCTGATTTAACCCCATCCTCATCATAGCAGTCTCTGGGGATGCTCAACATGAGGCCCAGGTTTTGCTGGGGATGATTTCCTTTGCTTATATAAAAGCTTCTAATTTAACTTCCCTTAGAGAGAGGACCAACTTCTTTCCTTCCTTCTTCTTGTCACTTTGGAAGAATTACAGAACCTTTTTTGACCTTCAATCTCCTCCTCTGTAATTTGGGGATAATACTCAATGTCTCACAATATCATTGTGAGTGACGAATAATATTCCACACATAAGCGCCTAGAACAACATCCAGCACAAAGAAGGAGTTTGACAAATGGAAGTTGTCGATGTTGTTGTAACCAGGTTCATAGCTGAGTGCCCCTTCATTCTCCGTACTCTTACAGTCTTCTCGAAGGCTTCAAGTTTTAAGAGAGACTTCATGGACTCCGCTGCTGCCCTGTCTCTGGCTGCCCTGTATCAGCTCTGCGATGCTTCCCCAGGGCTAATATGCCTAATCTGTGTGCAAACAAAGATGTGTCCTTGTTGAGGGTTCAGAGCCCGTTCTTTCTACTATTGGCTCAAGACATACTTGCTTTCTTCTCTCTCACACCTTCCATTTACCAGTTAGAGGACCAGAGATACAAATAACAAACGATTATCTCCTAGTCACTATGTGTCAGGCACTGCCTAAGGGCTTGTCTATATTATCCAGGGCATAAAGAGGTTAAGAGTCTTGCCCAGAATCACACAGCTGGTAAATGGTAGAGCTAGGATTTGATCCCAAGGTTTTAACTAGAAACTTGAAGTGTGACCTTAAGTTGTGTGCCTCTACCGGGGGAAGAAGATATTTCTGCCTCCCTTTTAGACAAAGTAGACTAGCAGAAAGAGAAACAAGGGACACAGAGTGAGGCCATGTGGCCCCAGTTTAGTCACTTTCCAGCTGTGTGTTTATGATTACCTCACTTTAACATCCTTGAATCTTTGTTCCCAACTTTTTGCCAGGGAAAAATGAAGCTCTTCCTAACTCGTAAGGCTGTTCTGGGGATAAAATGGAACCACATCCATGAAAGTGTTTTGACAACCATAAAGTGCTCAGTAAGGCAGAATAAAGCATTCTAAAACTACAACTACTCTAATTCAAATAACACATATTTTATTGCATTTGAAATACCTAATAAATTAAAGCTAACACGGGACATTTTTACCTGAATGCTCAGATCAGTGCCTTAATTCTGCATTTCACGTAAAGTGTAGGAACCACGATTTCATATACAGTTCTGTTTCGACTGACAATTTGCAGGATTCTTTAAACATCATTTGATCCTTTTAAAAACAAAAGCTTAAGGCCAAATAAGCTTGTTATTCTAATAAGCTTTTAGTGACAAACTAGATTTAGGATTGTTCTTTTTTCTCAACCTGGAAATTTAACTTGGCTTAAGTAACCAAGTAAAGACTTACTCTTCTTTTTGTTTTTGGTTTCTAGACTGCTGGAGAATCTTGATGGCCATCTTAAAAAGCTGATCTCCTTCATCTGTGAAATTTTTCTTTGCTGGCTTTTTTGCTGTATATGAACAAACAAGGAAAAATAACATTATTTTTGTATTTTATCTTTTAAAAATAATGTGCTGGCGTGGTAGTTTGGGTTTTTCTAAACTCTGCATTTCAAGATCGTCTGGTTTTTGGTCAGAAAGTAGAAGCTGCTTACAAAAGTACCCTCTTCCTGTCTTTTGTAAAAGGATCTGGAGGATGGAGGAGACAGAGAGATGCTTCTGGTGGGGGGAGGGAGAGAGATGTTCCTGGTCTGGGAAAGGGATGCAAAGTCCTGCAAAGCAGAATGCAGGAAGCAAGGCCTCCAAGGGAAGGTGTATCCTCGAGGCTCAGGCTCCCTTGTCTGAGCACGACCCACAAACCTCAGAGTCGTAAGATTCCAAGAGAACGTGAGCAACGGGCATCTCCGAGATGACTAGTGTACACGTAACACTGGAATTTTGCTTTGCCCAAGCCTCCTACCTCTACCCCCAGAACCTTTCAGAGACCTTTCTAGCCTGACTGAGAACTGTTGGGGATGAGCATCAGGAATAAAAGAGGGAGAGTAGATGTGTCAGAACACATCTAAAGACCTTGGTACACAGAAAGTACCAATAACTGCCTTGTGGGATAGGGGCTCAGAGTCAATTTTACAGGACATAAGGAAAATAAAGAAATGGAATTTTACCTGCTACATTGATACTTCTCAAGTATTTCTATAACACTTCACAGTTTTCAAAACATTATCACCAGTTGACAGACAGAGAAAGCTGGTTAGAGGGAGAATCAGTCTCAGAGCCACACGCCACCCCGGACACACAGACTCACACACACACGCTATACGCACAACCTTGTCAAACATCACAGGGCCTCTCAAAATCCATTTTGACACTCAGTGAACCTCTGATTTAGGTGAACAATGCCTGAAGCCATTTTAAAGGAGAGGCACTCTGGGATTTGATGCCTCATTAATAAGGACACTAAGAACCTTAAGTGGTCCTTGTTTTCCTTCTCCTTGACAAAGTATCAGAGTTGTCCACTTTCTTTTTTAAATTTAAGAAGTTTTTAAACTTAAAAGCTAATCTACAATTATTTTGAATGCTTCAAATGATCTAGTCAATTTAGTAATACCAGATGCTTTCAGAACCTAATTTCTGCTTTGAGTTATATGTTGTCTGCACTTACGATTAAAGAGGAAAAAATAATGGGGAAAACCTACTAATCTGTGTTTGGAATAGTAATTGCTCCTATTAAGATGTTTTCAAAGAGTAAGAATAAATTTTGAAAGGCTGACTCTGCATGCACATATATTTGAGAAATGATTTACCACTACAGATTTCTACCCATGGCTTTTACTTTTATTTGTAGTTCTTTTTTGGTTTACCAAATTTATTGAAATACAACTTTTCTTTACTGTAAGATGGCTCAATTATCAGATAAAGTTATCTTGACAACACTTTAATTTCCTTTTCATAGTTCAACGATTTCCAAACTTGAGGGAAGCACAGTCAAGAAATAATTTGAGGAGACCACTCTGAACTTGACATAAAGGACCTTCACGAGTCTGCAGCCTTGGAATGGCCAAATGGTGGAGGCCTGTTGTTCTGTCCTGATAGGGGCTCTAAGCTGACTGAGAAGTGGGAGGACTGAGCATCAGCAAGAGAAGAGGGCAGAGCGGACGTGCCAGAGCACTATTTAAAATAGCAGCAAGTGTGCAAAGTGCTCCAACTAGATGAATTTATATTTCAGTGTTTGTCAGAGACATAATTTGTAGAGAAAGTTCTTGACACTTTACTACTTCTGCAGTCTTATTTCCATTACTCCATATCTAACCTGGATATTGTTATGGGTTGAACTGTGTCCTCCAAAATTCGTATTTTAAAGTCCCAACCCCTAGTACCTCAGAATGTAGCCTTATTTGGAGATAAGGTCTTTAAAGATGTGATTATGTTAAAATGAGGCTATTAGGAGGGGGCCCTAATCCCATAGGACTGATGTCCTTATAAGAAGAGGAAGAGACGCCAGGGGCATGCGGGCACAGGGAAAAGACCATGAAGGACACAGGGAGAAGGTGGCCATCTATAAGCCAAGGAGAGAAGCCTTAGAATGAAACCAACCCTGCTGACACCTTGATCATGGACTTCTAGCCTCCAGGACTATAAGAAAATAAATTTCTGCTGTTTAAGACAACTTGCCTGTGGTATTTTGTTATGGCAGCCCTAGCAAACTAATACAGATGCCCACTCCAGACTGCATGGAAAACAAGCTGCCTCTTCTCCCTGTGGAAAGGGATGCCCCCAAACTCAGCTTCCCATCAGATCAGTAGCTACCTTCTAAATGTAGGCGAGACTGTAATTTCCTGTGAGCCCCCAAGGTCTCCAGGTGCTGGATGCCTGACTTTCCCAAGTAGCTGGATGCTCAAGTAGCTCACCTCTGACAAGGTCACTTTTTCAGGACTGTACTTTAAGTGGTCAGTGTAGCAGGTAGACCTTCCACGTGTCCAGCAATCCCTGGACCCAACTCACCTCTCTGTGGGATGATGGGAGACCTGGGAATCTATGCCTTCTCTTGCTGACCCTTCAATTGTAAATTTCCCTTTTCAAGTCTATTCCTTAATCCCTGTCACTTGTTCTTGTGGAATTCATGCAAAGTCCTCTTGTTCATAATGACTAGAAGCAAATCTTTGGAACAGAAAGGGCCCGCTTGCTTGTTTCAGATATTAATGAGAAAGAGGAGATCTGGAGACAACTTGTTCTCTGTCATCCAAACATTAACTTATCCACTTAGTATGAATTGAACACATACCATGTATTAGACACAGTGCTAGACATCGTGTTTATAAAGCAGATTGAGACATTGTCTCAGCCTGGCATGGAGACAGGCAAGTTTACGAAAAATTACAATGACATGTGGCAGACACTATGTAATAAGGTACTGTGAGAGTACGGCACAGATTGGGTTTCTGTAAGCAACAGGAACCCAATCTGATTGACTCAAGCAAAAGAAACTTATTGGGAGGCTGTTGAAAGCTCATAGAACCAATAGATTGGTCAGGAATGAGAGCATCTCTGGAAGTAGTAAGAAGCAGATACTGCTACTGGGATGGATTGGAATCCAATCCTTTTAGGAACTTCTCTTTGCTCCAGACTCCATGGAGGATGAATCTGAAGGGTCTAGTTAGGGAAGAAAATGTTCTCATTCCATTCCTATAAGAATGTATCCATTGGGGAAGACCCACTTCCTCAAAAGGAAATTGAGATAGTGAGAAAGGTAAAATGGATGATGGGAAGCCCCCACACAGCAAATGCCCACTTCAGGCACCTTACTCTGACTAAGTGAAATAAAAAAATCTTCATAAAGGAAGTGACATTTTAGATAGTTCTTGAAAGGTGGGTAGGAGTTTGTCAGGCCAAGAGAATGAAACTGACATCCTATTTGGAGGAAACAGTCTATGCAAATGAACCATGGGTATGAAACAATGAGGGGTGGGAATGCATCTTTAACCAAGAGTGAGGGCTTGAGTGTCATGGTTGGTCATGCAGTCCAGGCTGGCTGTGGACATAAGTGATACTGAGGGGAGTGGATGTAGGAGTGAAGAGAGAGTGGGAGCAGGAAGTAGAGGTCATTGTGAAGGTGAAGGCAGGTCTGAGTAGGAGAAAGAGAGAGAGGAGAAGTGGCAGGAAGGCAGCTCTGATCAAAGACAATTTTGGAGTTTGAAATCATATTTGTTAAATAGCTCTACATGTGGTGGGTAAGTGGCTGAGGAGAAATAGAGAAAAATATGATGGGAATCGAGGAGATCTAGGAAATAAAACTAGGTCTTCAACATGGATATGTAACCCTTGAGGTGCTGGTGGCCTGTAGTCATTGACTGATTGATGTGGGGATCTAACTCCCCTGCTTATGGAAAGGGGCCAGTCCTCCAGTGCAATTCATTTTTCAAAGCTCTGAACTTCTGAAACTTTCTCTTTTCTCAGCTCCTTCTCTTGCCCTATCCTGCATTCCTCACCCTCTTATATGTTTCACCACAAAATCTTAAAACCTTAACATTTAAATAAATAAATACCATTTAAACCATCTAGAAAAATAAAAGGAAGAAAATTCATTATTTTGAATCTCAAATTATAATTACATCATGAACCAATGATGAACCAATGATAAACCATGAGCCAATGATAAAGGATCGTTGAAAGTTAAAGGAATTAACAATTGAACTGGGAGATGAGTATCTTTTAGTCTGACTAAAATCACGTGCTTTCACCATTAAAATGATACAAAGAAATAAAAATGGGAAATCTTTCCCCTGCAGAAAATCTTGCCTACACAGACATTGCATCCTGCTTATCTAATTTCAATTGTATTTAATATAAACCAACTTCGGCTTCTGATTTTCTAAATAATGCATCAGAAGAGCTCTTCACATTTGCCCTTAATGTGTGCCAGGAAGATACAGTCCCAGATAAGGAAGGAGAATAACGATCCATTACTAAAAATAACTCCATCCAAGAAAGAATGACTCAACTAAGAGTTTAGTCAGATAAAGAGGACGCCAGCTCAAATACACTTGAATAAGAGCACAGATATTTACAATAATCAAGTTTATTCACACTGTCCCCAGATTATTGCTGTCAAACATAAATGCCTCCAGTGCTATTGCTAGGAAATGATAGACAAATTGTATTATAAGCAGAAAAAGAATTTCCTCTTCAAATATTTGCTAAAAGCAAAACTTGAAATAACAGGGAGTCTGACATATAAAGATTTATTTCACTATCTAAAACTCTTAATTTAGCAGAAAGAAATACAGTTTATAAAACAAGTGAAGAATCAAAAACAATATATATATTGTTATAATAGAAGCTAAAATTTATAAAGCACTTAGGCACCAGGCAGTTTTCTCACTGACTGTGAGAGGAAGAAGCTGTTAACATTTCCATTTTACAGATGAGGTGATGTAGGCATACAGAGATTAAGTAACCTGCCCAAGGTCATACAATTGGTACCCATATTCAAATCTAGGCAATCTGACTCCGG